TCCTCTTCTCGTGCTCTTTCCGTTCGTTTCTCGCCGCCTTTCTCCTTCATTCCCCTTCACGTGTGCATTCGATCGTGGACAAACGGGTCTCGTCGTCTGGCGCGATCATCGAACGAACCTAGTCTCACCAACGAACACGACGTAAGTGCTTCGTGACAATCACCATGGTGTTGCTTAGATACCTAGATTTTTGTACTCGATGTGTGACGGCACGTACGGTGGTCGAGCAGCCGCTCGGTGTATTCGATTGATATTCGACGGGTGTTCTTTCTAATGGTAGAAAGAAGGGATGAATTGTTAACTGCAACAAATGGTAAGATCGACGAAGGCAGGAGTGTCAGTGTTTGGAAATGACTCACGGTTATTTCGTTTGGAATGTGTTATCGCTTGGTGTCTTCGGCCGCCAATCGCTGCCTGTGTTTACATACACGGTCGAATCGTATGGCCTTCGTAAACTTCATAAATTCACACGAGTTCTCAGAAACGTGTTGTCGAGTCTAATCAGGTAAATACTTTCCGGAACCGATACGATGTTAAATGCGACGGTCATCGGATTAATATCGATACACGTTTGAGTCGTAAATTCTTATTACAACTCTATACATCGTAATTTCTACGTAAGGAAAGAAAAATGGGATAGATTGTCCAGATATAATTCTCCTTTATCGAATCCGACCGTCGCATCGGAACGAACTGACCAGATATTTACCCGTTCGTTCAATCAAATATTGGTTGACGTAGGACGATAAAATTGTGCACGAAATCGCGTGTTATTTCCGTCTCCTCAACCCTTTCCATCGCGTCTAAAGTTACGCGCTACAGGACTCGATGAACGACTTACGCGCGTACAATTGAAACAATTAATGACACACAATGGAGTCCGATGAATGGTCGATCGTTCTTCCCCGATCATTTTACTCCGTATTCGGGGAGAGTAGAATCACGAGTGAACAAATCGGTGGAACGATTAAACTCAAATTCGACCCCTCTTTGGCGGGTGTTGTGTCTCTCTGTCACGACATCAGGTTTCGCGTGGAGTCACGTGAGGATGAGGAAAAGAGTGGGCAGATCGATTCTAATCGTGCAATACATGACAATCGAACGATATAACAGGGAGGAAAAGCTGGCATAAAAATAGAAGGGAGAGCAGGACGTGTACTTGGCCGTAGCCTATACGATACGATGTTATCCTGCCGCGGTGGGTGTCCTTGTTCTTGCGACCGCCATTACGACGTGTCAAGGCGAGACGCATATGTACGTGTAATATTAGATCCGCACGATAATCGTCGCGATAATAGCGTAATAATTCCCCCCTCGAACATTGTTCGACCGTTCCTCCGCTTTATCTCCTCTCTCTCTTTCGCTCTTTTCCTCTCTCTTTACCCCCTTCACCCCTCCAATCTTGATACCGTATCGTAGATTTTTCGTAGCAGATATCGTAGCAGATATCGTGCTCCACGTATCCTTCTCACGTTTCCTCCACGTTCGTCGCGTCTCAAATTTTTTTCGCCGCGAGAAAAAGGCGGAGAGGCGGCCGTGATTATCCCGTGCAAGCTCGTCGAGTATTTTTTTCGAAGCGGCGAAAAAGAACGCGTGAATAACCTTGCCCTTGCTGGTAAAAACACCGAGCAACCCCAAGGTGGCGTGCTTTTCTGACGGTGTCAGATGTACATCAGTCGATATATCGACTTATTTCCGATAATGTATTGCCATTCGAGGCGATAACACGTACGAAAGTACACGCTTAGGTATACATAACGTATGGTATACGTTACATCAGATATGCTCTTGTCTCGAAAAAAATATCGAATTTCTTGCTTCAGTTCTTTTTCTGCTTATTTTTTTCGACGATGCTCCAGCTCGCATGCATCTGATCTTTTTTACGATTCGTTCGATCGCTGGTAGAATAACTCATTTGATATCTTTCCTCGTTTCGAGAATGGTGGTATAGAATTCCACGTTTGCGTAGCATTCGTCATGATTATTCGATCGAATTCTTTGTTTTTCCTCCCTTAAATCTCGGCAATGCACACGATACTTTATATATTTATGATATTTATGATATTTTTCCTACGAGTCATTTCTACGAACGAGTCTTATCGACATTCTTTTACAATTAAATGACAAATTGATTAGCTTACGTGTTATTCGATTTGAAATAAAATCTCGAGATCGTAATAACGAGATCGTAAGATCGATCATGAGTAAATTTTTCGTAAGAAATAGAAGAATCTCATATGAAATCCGTATAAGATGTTACTTTATCCATTTTTCATCAGTTTTTTCTTTTAGAAATTTTTCCTCCCTTTTCTTTCTCCTCTATTTTTCTTCTTCTATTTATTTACGATTTTTTTTACAGCTAAATCTCTTTCTCTTCACGCCCTCGTTTCACTTTTTCTTTTCTGCTAGAATCCCTTCGTTCTCGCTCCATCTTTTCTTTTTCATTATAACCAAATCGTTCAACAACCTATTCTATTCTTGGAGCGTTTAACCAAATTATTAGAAACTCGACAAATCGAAATTTAAATTGAAGGTAAACCTTTACGTAAACCGGGAGGATGAGTTCAGTTTCGATTCTATTAAGAATTACAGAAAGTTGTTGTCCGAATCAATCGTCGTTCCTTTAATTCACGACTCGGGGATACCGTAGAAACTGCTATAATCGGATCATGAGAGACAGTGCCGCATCCCCGGAGCAAATTGCAGCGAACGTTGGAGGGGTACGCGACCCAGCCACAGGCGGCGTAACAGCTCGGCGTATTTCTAGAGCAGCTAGTTAAGAATAGCACGGCGAGTAGACGGTTGAATTAAATATAGTCGGTGAACGACCGGTTGGTATATTACGAAATTTCATCGAAGTCACGGAAATCCTAGTGAGGACGTTGTCCTGCCTGGCGGGCACAATTTTTTCTCTCCCAATAGAAAATAATCGATGGGCAGAAAATCGATCGACTCTAATCTAAATTGAAGCGAAGGGAGTGCGATCGCGACGGGACGAGTCTTCGAGGATACGATCGATAAAATTTGGCGCGGCGACGATTCTTCTTCGTCTCGATCAACCTGCGACAGGGTTGGGGTGGGACAGGTTTCGTTGCGTTGTGTTTCAGGAAGACATTAACGAGGATTATAAATATCGGGAAACGTGGAGAGAAGATACAAGGGATGACAAGGGATTGTAGGGGAAAAAAAAAAAAAAAAAAAAAA